ATGAATCAATGAGTTTGAATAAAATTTAGATAAGGTTTTCCCACACTCTGGTGGAAGTGATAGCATGCCAATCTTGGCAATTGATTGGCTCTCTACCTTCTTAGACAAGGGGAAGCACTATAAACTGTCTAAAGAAAGAAATGTAAAAAAGATAACCCTTTTTCTTTGATTATTTATCAGAATAAATAAGGAGTACCTAGTTGCAGTGGTCTTATCCTTATTATAACTATCATGCAAGGAAAGGAAATTATGCATATAGACTTGACCTGCAAATACATTTCAACTCTCAAGATGGTCTTGTCACTATCTTTATTATTTGTTTAAGATCATTCTTAAACAATTACAAGAGAAACAGGTAATTTAAAGAGTTGGATCCACCTTCAGCAAGAAATTTGCTCCTGCCACAAGACAGCTCATTTCATCTTCTTTGTCGAGAACAAGTCCAAGTCTTTCTTTGAAGAGGTCAGCAAATTTGTGTGCTCCACCACCAGTAGCCTTTGTCACAAGATGAATCCATTAATGGAGTATTCTAATTGCAATAACACCAAACAAGCACTAATGAACTACACAATTATAACAACAGCTCCTTTAAAATCAAGTGCTATAAGCAATACCAGAAACAAAAGGAAACATCTTTGATGTTCATCATTATACAAAAGGGAGGAGGGTGGAGGCTGATTATCATTTTCCCAATAACTACTTTCAAATGTGATAAGCAAAACATAGATTATAGCCGTTGTGCATGCAAGCACAAGCCAAAATGAAACAACGAGTGTTTTGGAGATTTACTATATCCCTCCAGCACAAGAAAAAATAGCCCAGCTTCTGAAAATGTAGAAATAGTCAGAGAATCCAAGTTACCTTAATTATGGCATTTGATTCAGTTGAGCCATCAGAATAACGAGATTCCCCTCCTGTAAACCAGAAAAAATCAATAATCTTGAATCTATTAAGTTCTGAAAGCAAATAAACTAACACATAAGACACAACAAAGTTACAGGTAGAGAAGAGACAGATAAAACATAAAAGAAGAAAATTGAATAAGATTGTAATACCTCCGAAGTGAAGCTTTTTTGAAGAAATGAAGTCTAAGCACTCGCTAATCTTCCGAGTCTCAAACTTCACAAAATGAAGCCTTCCACCAAGAATAGGATAGCTTCTCCTGTTACTGGGAAATCCCAGTCGATTCTTCACATTTCTCATCCTTTTATCATTGGTTGATTGATCTTGGTGTCTTGAAAAGTACACCAATTTTATAAGAGATCCTGCCCATAAATTTCAATAACCATAAGATCCAGCCATCCTTAAATACTAACAACCTTTTTCTTTGAAATTAACAAGAAATTTAAGAGTCGCACATCATTGGGGGATAATCTACCACTGCTACGGTTCAATCGTTTTTTCATTATTTGTTTCCCCTCGTAAGAGGATGATACAACACAATGAAAGATTGCAGAGAGCTGGTTACGTTCAATGTTTTTTTTAAGATATCATAGGTATCCTCCACAGCGGAAACAAGCATCTTTGAACTGGATACAATCATTACAGGTGGCAAAGCTCTCGCTCCAAAACTTTAGAATTCAAACTTGAAATCATTACAGGTGGCAAAGCTCTCAGGAAACGTTTGAGTTGAGAGAGAAAGTTGAGCATAAATTATAATTGTTTTACATAATTTACAAAACTGAGTATAAAACATAGTAATCATTGGACAAATAAAAGAAAGGCTTAAGCCACCACTATCATCACGCTTCCACCACCATCTATCACTTCACATCAAATATAACTAAAACGAAATTAGGAACAAGTTCTAAATAAGGAACGGAAACACGAAATATGAATCTAAACTACCTCCAATGTCAAGAGCGAGGTACGATATATCATGAGACTGATTGGGTAGCAAAATAGATGGATACTTCTCTTCCACGTTTCCTTGAATTTCTGCTTTGCTGAGATCCAGCAATTGAGGCCGCGAACTCGACCGGTGCATTGAACTGTTACCTGTGTGCGCCATCTCTCTCTCGCACACTCTCTCAGAGTCTCTAAGTTTGAACGACAACTTCAATGCTTTTTCGGCTCATGAAACGCACGGAACTGTCACTAACAGATGACCCATTCTGCTTGACCACGGTAATGTAGTCAACCCCACCAAACCACTACATCCTTAACCTCACCAGACCGCTACCTCAATTTCAAGCCACGTGTGGACGCTACACTGGATCAACAAACGTAATTTTCACCCCTTCCCTCTTTCCCGTGAAAATAAAATAGTTATTAATTACAAATTACACAACTGAAACCCTTTTTAATTCATACAAGTAAATTTCTCTAATTAGATGGACTGAGAAATATCATTTCAAATTTTGTAAATGGGAATTTTAGTTTCATACCCCACCATGATAAAATCTTAAGCTTTATTGGCTTCAAATCCAATTACTTATTTTATGTCTTGTGGGAGTTTGATTCTTTTTCACCACAGCATGAGTAGGAGCTGGATTTGGGGAAAGGTAAAGAACTAAAAGAAAATTGGCATTTTTAATATGTGTTAATTCAAGATTTGGCTTCTACAGGAAGATGTAAATTGAAGTAATTAATAATATTATGTGAAAGGTTTACACAATAAAAATAGTAAAAATAAAATGAATTATCATAACAGTTTAAACTGGTAAATCAAACAGAAGTTTCTAAAAATAAATTTAGATATACTTATTATATAAACCTATTTAAATAAAATTATTTACACAAGTGAAAAAATATAAAATTTTTAAGAAATAAATAAAAGATATTAAAAATTAGGTTAAAATCACTATATGATTATCCTGTTTGTATTTTCCTATTTCTATTAGAATCTTCAATTAGGTCTTGGTATTTTAAGTAGTCTCTTTATTTTTGAAAATGTGAAAGAAATTTAGTTTTTCCTATCATAGACGACTTACTTAATGTTACACGTGGTTTTTATTTTTAATTCTTTTAATTTTATTTTAATTTTTTAATTCTTTTTAACTTTGTCACATGTCATAAATAGTGTTAAATAGTGTTAGTAACATGTATCACAGTTAAAAAAAGTGTTATGTAAAAAAATTGATTATGTTATTTGTATTTTGTTTCATTTTAGTTTAAATTTTTTTAAAAATTTGAGCAATTTTATCATTGAAGACAAAATTTTACTTTAATATAAATATATAATAATATTTTTATTAAATTAATATTTTTATTAAATATTTTTAATAATATTAAATTTATATTTTATATTAAACTTTATTTAAATTTTGTTTCAAATATTTTTATATTGAATAATTTCTATTCAAAGTTCATTTAAAAATAATAATATCATAAATTCAAATATAAAATATTAATAGTATTAAATTTATTTAAATTTATGTTTTACACTGAATTTTATTAAAAGATAATAGATTGATTCGTTTTGTCATCAATAATAAATATTATATTTGTTATAATGAAATTTTTATTAAAATTTATATTTTTATTAATATTTTTAATAAGATTAAGTTTATTTTAATTAATACTTTATATTGAATTTTATTTAAATTTTAATTATTATAAAATTATCTTAAAATTTTATATGACACTTTCTATATATAAAATAAAAATATTAAATTAATATTTTTCATATAACATATTTCCTAAGAGTAATATGTGACACATTATACTATCTTGTCATACTATATTTGTAATATGAGGTGATCCTCATTTGAAATGTTGTCTAGTTTGTTTTGTGAAAAGAAAAAATTAAAGAAAAAAAACTAAAGATTGATACATCATATTGAATTAACATCATTAATTTTATAGTAACATAAATTATCAAATTGTATCAATTTTAAGAAACAACGACCTAATTGAGACTATTAAAATGTGAGAACCCAGATCCAAACACAAATATAAGATCATCCAATGATTTTAACTTAAAAATTAAAAAAAAATATTTAAAAAATATAAACAAGATTAAAATATTTTATATAAAAAACATAAAATTTATATTATTGTATTATTTTGCATTTGTAATAATTTATTAATTAAAATACCAATTTAGTCCCTGCTTTTTTTTTGTCAATTCAATCTTAATATTTTTTTATAAGTCTCAATTGTGGTGAATTTTTTTTCTCTAACGTTGTTAAAATAAACAACGTACATCATGTGTCAGTTTTTTATATTTTTAAATTTTTAATATTTTTATCATTTTTTTAATTATAAAAATGTTCACTACGTGACAATACATGTATATAAAAGAATAAATCGTCTTCAAAAACAAAGAAGACAACATTAATTGTGTAAAAATATTACTATGAAAATAACTAATAATATGTTTTTTTTTTCACATAATTAATTATGAAAAGCTTTTACAGTAAAGGTCTAAAATACATGAGCGGAAATATATCCATAATTTTATTACATTGAAATAATATAATTTTAAAATTATGTGTAAATTTACTATTTTGATAAATATTAATTAAAAGATTATATATATATATATATATATAAATAATATTGTAAAAAATAATATTAAAAAACTTATGTAACTGTTATTTATTGAAAAGAAAAATTATTTAATTATTTGAAAATAAAAAAGAATTTATACACCTTCTTACTTTATTAAATAATAAATTAATTTTTATTTACCAGATCAAATTATGTAAATAAAAGAAGACAACAAAAGAAATTAGCCTTTATATAATATAGGTTTAATAATATCCTAAGTCCTTATTTTGGACCAAACTCTGGGTTATTAATTTTGAGAAGAATAATGATATTTAACAACATTTTTTTACAATATTTTAACATGTTTAAGTGACATTCTGTGATTGGTCTAAAATGACTTCAGAAACAATAACAATAATCATAAACAATAATATAAACCAATCACATAACGAGGTACTAAAATGTTATCAAAATATTATTATCATTTATATATATATATATATATATTTATATATTTTGTGATGAATTTTAAACCTTTTCAAAGGGAAGGAATTTTTTTCATTTTTAAAATTTGTGAATGGGAGGGGAAACACATCAAAACTCAAAAACCCCGGACCCTTTTCCTTAAACCCTAAGGAACTTTCACCGAATCCGTAGCGGCATGGAATCTCTCAGATTGAAAACCAACTACCGCTGCGTCCCCGCTCTGCAGCAGTTCTACACCGGTGGCCCCTTTGTTGTCTCATCGGACAACTCCTTCATCGCCTGTGCCTGCGGTGAGTCAATCAAAATCGTCGACTCCGTCACCGCCGCCATACGCTCCACCCTCGACGCCGACTCTGAGTCCGTCACCGCTTTGGCACTCAGCCCCGACGACCGCATACTATTCTCTTCCAGCCACAGCCGCCAAATCAGAGTATGGGATTTGTCCACGTTCAAGTGCGTCCGCTCCTGGAAGGTACCGTACCTTATAATTCTTGTTCTCTTCATCACTGTCTGTTTTGGTGTGATGAATAATGTACTGAGATTGCTAATGTGCGCGTTGGGTTTAGGGTCATGATGGTCCGGTTATGTGCATGACGTGTCATCCTTCCGGAGGGTTGCTCGCTACCGGTGGAGCTGATAGGAAGGTTCTAGTGTGGGATGTGGATGGTGGTTACTGCACTCATTACTTTAAAGGTCATGGTGGAGTAGTTTCTTGTGTCATGTTCCATCCCGATCCTGAGAAACAACTTGTGAGTACTGTGCTTAAAGCTTTTTCATTTGATTGCGTTCTGCTAGTGAGCATTGAGATTCAATGTTTATAGAAATCATGTCATCTGATTTCTTCCTAAGTAGATATGCATAAGTTGAGTACTAAACCAAGTTGTTTTATTCGATTATACCTATGGAACAAAAATTTATAAAATATTTTATAACTGATTCATTATAACTTTATAAGTATGATATCACAATTTACAAAAACTAATATAACCTTTTTCTATAGTATAACCAGTCCTGGTCAACTGTATCAATAAAAACATCTTTGGTGGAATTCAGGACAACTATTGACTCTAAACAATAGCCTACAATTCATAAGCATCATCACTAAACATCATCTTTGGCTGTATCATTCTCCTCTATTTCATTACCACCATTCATAAAAGCACAACTTTTATGTTTGATTCATCAACGAGCAACTTTGCCAATTCTACAAGTTCAACACTATCATCAAGTGGACCATGCTCCACTAATGTTCCACATTGTTCTGTCCTGCTTTTATACAATCATATCCTTCAACTTTTCTATACACAAAGTTGAAGGTTGCAATGCACATAAATAAAATATTCACCCCTTTTTGCACCCATTTTGTTTATCTTCGAAGGATGAATGAATGAGTATGTACTCTACTTCCTCTCACAGTATGAGGAAGAAATGGCTACACCCGAAGCTTTAATTGAAAGCTTTTTGGTGTATCCGGATGTAAACGAGCCATATCCTGAAAGGAGAAAAAAATCACTGGAAAAGGAATTGGATGCTTTTCAAACACATCTGAGAAATGTGTTAGAAAAAAAAAGAAAAAAAATATTGCATACATATCGGATTCATTGTGGAATTATCCAAGAAGTATCAATTTTCGACACGCGTATGTCTATATTCTTTTATTACTTTTGGAGTATTTGGGCTTCATAGGATTACACTGTGCCAGTGTACATATTCGTGATAGCATGAAGCATTGCTTACTACTGTCTGAACCATATGACGTACTTGTTTATAATTAGATTGGAATCTTTGACCACTGTTATGAGTTACTTATTAATTTAATTGAAGGACTGGGCTTTTTCTCTTGTTTTTTCAATGGATAAGTATAAGGGCACATGTTAGGATGTAAAACAACTTGATGGATTTGTGTGAATTGAATCTCAAACCAATGTGGTGAACATAGTGATTGTTGATGGTGCTCAAGTGTTGATTAGAATTCCATAACAGAGTGATACAAATGCAATTGATTGCTTGCTTGTAGTCCTTTTGATGCAAGTGTGATTTTGTTTATCCTTACCCTGTTCCTCAATTTAACTATTCCCAACTATTGATTTTACCTTTTCACTTCATATATTTAACTGATAATGGTGAGATTGGTGCCCCAGCTTTTTTCTGGAAGTGATGACGGTGGTGATAATGCTACAGTAAGGGTTTGGGATGTTTCCAAAACCAAGAAAAAGAACTGTATTGCTACATTAGATAATCATCGCTCAGCTGTGACTTCTTTGGCAATATCTGAAGATGGCTGGACGCTACTTAGTTCTGGAAGAGACAAGGTCGGTTCTACAATTCTCTATCCAACTTTTTGTTTTCATGGAGTATGTTAAGTATAGTCCAATAAGGTGACAAATTGATGTGCTGATTGTTGGCAGGTTGTAACATTGTGGGATCTTCACGATTATAGCAACAAGAAGACTGTCATTACTAATGAGGCAGTTGAAGCTGTCTGTGTGATTGGTTCCAGCAGTCCCTTTGCTTCATCTCTGCATTCATATAAGCAAGATGCAAAAAAACGCAGTGGTTCCAAAGCATTCTATTTCATTACAGTTGGTGAACGTGGCATTGTACGCATATGGAATTCTAAAGGGTAATATATGAAGATTTTTTCAATCATCAGCGTAAATATTTCTAATATTATGACATTTTGTGCTAGTTGCACCTGGGTTGGGTTCGTTTAAGCTTTTAAAGAAGTGGCTTTAAAGCTATGCTCTGCCTCTTTAATTTTTTTGTTTTGTTTGTTTTCCTATTGACAGGGCAGGTTGCATCTTTGAGCAGAAGACTTCAGATGTTACAGCTAGCATAGATGATGATGAATCACGTAGGGGTTTCACTTCTGCTGTTATGCTTCCCTCTGATCAAGGATTGCTATGTGTGACTGCGGATCAGCAGTTTCTATTTTACTCTCTGGAATGCACTGAAGAATTGTTACAATTAAATCTAACCAAAAGACTTGTTGGATATAATGAAGAAATTGTGGATATGAAGTTTTTGGGGGATGATGAAAAATTCCTAGCCCTTGCTACAAATCTTGAACAGGTATGAGGATGTGTTTTTATCTAGAAATTAGCAAACTGTTGTGAATTAAATATAGTACGACACTTTCATTTACATTCTGGTACACACACACTGTTAAAAGCTAAATTTTCTTGGCTGCACAATGTTGTTCTTGTCTAGTTTTCTGGTGTTTGTTCTTGTCGCATTGTCAATGTAATTGTAATTTGTCAGAATATGAGCACTTTTAGAATATTTTTATACATAGAAAATTTGGGGATGAGATTTCGTTTATAGCTATTTTTCATTTTACAATTAATTACTTCAATAAGTCCATTCTGAAATCTTTAGTTCACAAGGCGAATGAGTTATAATTGTTTCTAAGATGATTTTCCAATGTTATTTGTGCTTTTAGTGATCTGTGACATGAAAACCTCATTGATTTTTAAATTGTTTTGTCTTTTGGATGAACATCACATGTTTACACCAGGAAGGATATTCCCACCAAACCCATTGAAAATGATTATACAAACGAGTTAAGACTAAATGAGGTAGTGGAATATGAGTTTTATAACCATGATGTTGGGGTGGGTTGAACTTGTGTCTGGACTTAAAGTAATTTTTCAAGAGTGAATTTGGACGTATTGGTTTGGAGGGGAGCACCTTGGAAAGGTTTGCTAATTTTTTAAATTGCAAGGTTTCACATTTCCTTTTATTTATATTGGTGTAACTTTGGGTGCTAATCCTCTTCGAGAGGTTGATTGGAAGCCTATTCTAGGTAATTTCTCTAAGAAATTGGCACCTTGGAAATAGGTCTTGGATCTGTTTGCCGGGAGGTTATGCTTAGTCACTTATGTTCTGTTATCTTTATGAATCTTTTTCCCATCCATTTTCAAAATTCCGAGTGGGGTGTGGAAGAAAATTAGAAGATGCAAAGAAAGTTATTGTGGGTGTATTAAGAAAAATACATTGGGTTACTTGGGAAAAATTATGTAGATGAAAAAATATGGAGGATTTGGAGTGACAGATATAAAACTGTTCGATGAGTCATTGCTAGCAAATGGATGTGATAATTATTGGAACACTGAGCAGCATTGAGGGTTAGATTACTAGAATCAAAATATGGTGCTTGGAAGGGTAGTAGTAGGGAGGATAGATGCATAAATGTATCAATATGGTGCAAAGGTATGTAAGGTGTGTGGGGGCAAAACTTACCTTGGTGGTATGATTATACGATGAAATGGAAAATTGCAAATGGGCGGGTCAGGAGATTTTGGTTAGATAATTGGATGGCAAAAGGTGTCCTTGCGTCATGTTATGCTAGACTTCATGCCAATTTAAAACAACAAAAGGGGGGTTGTTCTCTGACGAACATTCTGATCACAACTCAATCATGAACATTATTTTCTATACATGGATTTGGGTGAGAGGATATATACCACTTGCTCATTCATATTCCCAGTAGCAAGCTCAGGTAAAACTATGCTTGAAGGATGCCAGTAACAAATGGTGGACATAAGAGAAAGGAGCATGGCTTCAATTGATGGGGTGGAAGTAGAAATGAACATCCACATGATTTACCTGGAGTAATTATTTTGGTATGTAAAACAGAAAAAAGGAACTTGCAGGAGCGTAATCAGATGTACTTATTGATGAATATAGGTGATGGAGATGTATTATTTTGGAGTCTGGTTAAAGTTTATTTATATGCCACAACATTGTATATGTTAGAATAATTAATGTTACATATCATCATTAAGGCTAGTCTGCTAGACCAGTAATGAATCGTACCTAGTTCTGTACCTAGAGGTCTAGTGCAGACTCTTGATGTTCCATGTACTCTTGTGTTTTCAATATATATAGAAGATAATGAGAGGGTTCTATTAAGGTTTTAATCTCAAGTTGGTATCAGAGCAGGTTCATCCTGCTCTGGTTTCTGTCCTGGGTTGTCCACCAACATTGTCATTGTTGTTCGCATCTGTCCGGTGCCCTTTGCCGTTGTTCGCGGTTGTCTTGTCACTATCTGCAGCTGTCAACTGCAGTTTGAAGCTCTTCAACTTGGTTCTCTGCCATCTCGCATCTGTTCGCCGCTGTCCGCCGTCCACCATCACTGTTCCGTCCGGCAACCACTGGATCTGGTTCGTCTCTTCACGCGACGACCACCCCCACCGGTGCTGGAGTCTGATTCTCCTCCACGCGCAGCTTCTTTGTGCGCTTTGAACAGGCGCGTACTGTTCACGCGCCTCCCTCTTCCCATCGGAAAGTCACCGCGACACCTCCATAGCTGTCGCCTGAGCCTCCTCTCTCTGTTCTGACCCTCAAAACCCTACTTTAGTGAAGTCCAGAAGCTCCCCTTGAAGAAAACCCTAAGAAACCCTCTCGGGTTTTCTGATTCCTCACTGTCGCGCTTTTCCTTCTATTTTTTTATCAAGAATGTTTATCAAGAATGACGTCTGGAAGTGTTCTTTCTTTCTTTGGAAGTCCCTCAATTACTTCCGAAAAGCTAAACGGAAAGAATTATCTGTCTTGGTCTGCTGTCGTGGAAATGTGGTTCTTCGGTCAAGGACATTATGACCAACTTGAGCAGGATGGAAGCCAAGTACCTTCTGAAAAAGCTAGAACAATGGAAACAAGCAGATTTCCAATTGTGTGCCCTATTGTGGCAATATGTGGAACCCCAACTTTTGATATCTCTTAGAGCCTTCAAAACATGTCACTCTTTTTGGAAGAAAGCTCAAAGCATTTATGCTAAGGATATTCAACGTCTCTATGATACAGCAAACAAGCTTGCATGTCTCAAAATGACAGACCATGATATGGTCTCCTTCATGACTGAAGCCCAAGCAACTCTGGAAGAGTTGAGAATGTTCTTGGAAGTGGAATCTTCGGAAGACATCAAGAAGAAGCTTGACAAGTATTATATGGTGATGATCCTCCGTGCATTACATCCAAATTTGAATCATATCAGAGATCAACTTCTGACAAGTCATGAGGTCCCTTCCTTGGAAGCCTTGACCACACGTCTTCTTCGTGTTCCAGTGCCTCAATCTCAGGAAGCTCATGAAACAATAGAACCATTTGTCATGGTTGCCACGCGAGGAAGAGGAGGACGTGACACTAGAGGAGGAGGACGTGGAGGTCGGGGACGTCCACAGTGCACTTACTGTAAGAGGGTGGGTCACACCCAAGAAAACTGCTACTCCTTGCATGGTTTTCCTTCAAAAACAACCAATATCTCTAAGGCTGAAACTTCCACTTCCGACTCCAAGTTCACTGAGGAAGACTGTCAAGAGTATCGCGATTTAAGTCTAACAACTTGGCACAATCATCTCAATCCCCAAGTACATCCACAACTTGCATTTCTCAATCCATGGAAGGTCAAAGTTCATGGGTAATTGACTCGGGTGCTTCTGATCACATCTCTTGTTATTCCTCATTGTTCTCAACCCTTTCCCTCCAAGAAAAACCCCATTTCATTACTCTTGCAAATGGCTCTAAAACTTGTTCAAAGGGAGTCGGTCAAGTCTCCCTGTCTCCCTTTCTTACTCTGAAATTTTTTCTTTTTGTCCTTAATTGTCCATTCAATTTACTTTCCTTAAGTCAGTTAACCAAAATGTTACATTGTTCAATAACTTTCGATTCAAAATCTTTTGTTATACAGGAGCGTGGCTCAGGGAGACAGATTGGAGAAAGATATGAAGCTGGAGGTTTATATCATTTTGGATCTCGTCCATGGTAAACCTGTGTTGCAACTCTTCCCCCTAAAGTGTTACATGACCGATTTGGCCATCCTCACTTGTCAAAGTTAAAAAAGATGTGTCCTGAACTTAGTGGTCTTCAGACTTTAGAATGTGAGTCTTGTCAACTAGGAAAACATGATAGATCTGTCTTTCCTAAAAGGTCTCAATCAATGTGTAATTCTAGTTTTTCTATTATTCATTCTGATGTCTGGGGACTTAGTCGTGTCTCTTCTTTTGGTTTTAGGTATTTTGTTACATTTATTGATGAGTATTCTAGATGTACTTGGGTTTATCTAATGAAAGATCGCTCTGAATTGTTACCCATCTTCACATCCTTTTTGAATGAAATTAAGAACCAATTTGGTCAAGTAATTAAAATCTTAAGAAGTGATAATGCTAAAGAGTATTTCTCCTCCGCTTTTTCTGCAATCCTTAGCTCCCATAGTATTTTTCATTAGTCCACTTGTCCTCATACACCCCAGCAAAATGGTATATCCGAAAGAAAAAATAGACACTTGGTTGAAACTGCTCGTACCCTTTTGCTTGGTGCCCATATTCCTATTCATCACTGGGGGATGCCATCTTAACTGCATGTTTTCTTATTAATAGGATGCCCTCCTCCTCTCTCAATAATAAAGTCCCTTTCTCCATTTTCTTTCCCAATGATCCTCTCTTTCACACCTCTCCTCGAGTTTTTGGTTGTGTATGTTTTGTTCACGACATGTCTCCTGAGCTAGACAAGCTCTCCGCTCAGCAATCAAATGTGTCTTTTTAGGCTATTCTCGGCTTCAAAAAGGGTACCGGTGTTACTCTCCTGAAACCAAGAAGTACTACATGTCTGCCAATGTTACATTCTTTGAACAAACACTTTTCTTCTCTCCATCTGTTCAAGATGTTCATATCCTCCAACAGGTCCTTCCTCTTCCAGTGGTTGAGTCTAATATCTCCAATGTCTCAGTAAATTCAAGTCCTGCTCAAGGTCCTCCCGAACCTTCCTCTCCACATATTGATATCTTCCGACACAGTACCCCGATGGGTAGTCCTCTTCTAGAAAATGGTGGATCTCCTCCTTCAGATTCTTCTCCCTCACCGCCTCCTACCACGCCT